GGTCTTCTGACCTTCATGCTACCTTTAAAACTGATTAACCCACCACCATTACAACATTAGATTATTCTAATTTTATCTCTATATTTACCTTCATCATTGAGATTTCTACTTTGATATGTTTTCCTTGTATTTATTAGCCACTTGTCTTTTATAACCTAAAGAAGTCTCTTTGACATTTCTTGTAAGGCCGGTGTAGTGGTGCTGAAATATGTTTGGAGCACCACTTTTGCTTGACCGGAAAATTCTTTCTTCTGTAATTCTGAAAGATAAGTTAAGTGGAACTGATTTTTGTATGTTGATTTTGTATCCTGCAACTTTACGGAATTTACTTATTCTGGATTTTTTGGGAGGGTGACATCTTTATGGTTTTTTATATTTAATATCTTGTTCTCCTTCAATTCTGAAGGACATCTCTGCTGGGTAGAGTATTCTTGATTGGTAGTTTTGTTTTTTCAGCACACTGAATACATCATCCCAGTCTCTTCTGGCCTTCAAAGTTTCTATTTTAAAAAATCTGGCCCTGGCTGGTATAGCTCAGTGGATTGAGCATGGGCATGGGAACCAAACAACCGCAGCTGGATTCCCAGTCAGGGCACATGTCTGGGTTGCAGGCCACTTCCCAGCAGGGGACACACAAGAGGCAACTGTACATTGATGCTTCTCTCCCTCTCTCCTTCCCTTCCCCTCTAAAGATAAATAAATAAATAATCTAAAAAAATAATCTAACAATCTGCTGGTATGGCTCAGTGGCTTGAGTGCCGGTCTGCAAACCAAAAGGTCACGGGTTTGATTCCCAGTCAGGGCACATCCCTGGGTTTCAGGCCAGGTACCCAGTTGGGGGGGTGCGAGAGACAGCCAATCTATGTATCTCTCACACATTGATATTTCTCTCCCTTCTTGTCTCTCCAAAATTAAATAAAACCTTTTTTTTTAAATCTAACAATCACTGATAATCTTATGGGGGGTTCCCTGTATGAAACAAGTTGGTTTTCTCTTGCTGCTTTTAACATTTCCTTCTTGTTTTTCATTTTGACAATTTAATTATAATGTGCCTCACTATGGGTCTTTTTACATTCACCCTTTTTGGAAATCTAAGCTTCCCCCAGCTTGGAGGAGATTTCAGACATTATTTCTTTGAGTTAGCTTTCTCTCTCTTCCCCTTCTGAACTCCTTTAAATGCGTATTTTGGTAACTCAGATGGTGTCGCACACGTCCCTTAAGCTGCCAGTCTTTTGCTTTGGTTGGATAGTTCCTACTACCTTATCAAGTTCACTAATTTTTTTCCCTGTGATTGATCTAGTCTGATGTTGAACTTCAGTGTTGAATTTTTTACTTCAGTTATTGTATTCTTGTGACCCGTTTGGTACTTTTTTATACTTTCTAGCTCTGTGTTGAAATTCTCACTTTGTTCATGCACGCTCTCCATCTTTATGTCCGTTATTTTGAACTCCCTGTCAGGTAACTCATATCTGTTTCATTAAGATCTGTTTCTGGAGTTTCATCTTGTTCTCTGGTTAGAACATATTTTTGTTTCTTCATTTTCCTTGACTCTCTGTGCTGGTTTCCATGCACTAAATAACACAGCCACCTCTTCCAATCTGACAGATTGGTGTTGTGCAGAAGATAAGCGTCATCGTCTATCAGCCTGGCTTATGCTCCTGGTTGTGTCTCTGACCTTTGTGACTGTTCCTAATGGCTCCCAATAGTTCAGAGCACCGAGACTGCCAGTGTCCCAAAGGGGAGGCCTGTTGGAGGCTTCATCTTTAAGGCACCAACTGGGAAAGTATTAGGTTGGCCAAAAAGTTTGTTTGGTTTTTTTCTGTAAGATGGCTCCAGTAGTGCTTAGTAGTTGTTTTTAACTTTACTCAGAAGAATTTGGTTAGATTTTATTGTGACAGCTGTCATACCAGTGTGCATTAAAAAAATTATCAAAAGTTGGTGAATTTTTGTGTAACCATTTTATTTATTTATTTTACTTGTAGAGGGGAGGGGAGGGAGACAGAAACATGGATGTGTGAGAGAAAGAATCAATCGGTTGCCTCTCGCATGCCCCCCAACCAGGGGCCCGGCCCACAGCCCAGACATGTGCCCTGACTGAGAATTGAACCAGGGACCTTTTGATTTGTAGGCCAGCACTCAGCCACAAAGCTACACCAGCCAGGGCTTATATAACCATTTTAATATTGAAGATGGAAGAGAATAAGCAATATTTTTCCATATTATGCTTTATTATTTCAAGAAAGGTAAAAACACAAATGAAATGCAAAAAAAAGCTTTGTGCAGTATTTGGAGAAGGTGCTGTGACTGATCGAACATGTCAGAAGTGGTTTATTACAAAATTTCGTGCTAGAGATTTCTCCCTGGACAATGCTCCACAGTTGGGTAGGCCAGGTGAAGTTGATATCAAATCGAGACATTGATTGAGAACAATCAACATTATACCACATGGGAGGTAGCTGACATACTCAAAATATCCAGATCGAAAACGAAAAGTGTATCTTTTATTTTATGGGAAAAAAACTAAACAGACTTCTTGGCCAACCCAATAGTTAGGCATCTCTAGGGAAAAACTGGGAGGTGAGAAGTTTTGCCTGCTCCCCTCTGCACTGGGCCTTGGTATGAAGTTGCAGATGGTGTTCCTCAGCCTGCTAAGAACTGTTTCTTTGTCTGCTGCAGTCCTGTGGGACTCATGAATGCAAGCCTCATTAACTACCAGAGTCAGGCAGTTCAGAGGCCTGTCCTTCAGGTGACAGCCACCAAAGCTGGGCAACAGACATGTGCATAGGCTCCTTTCAGGGAGAAACTGGTGAAAATTGGAGGGGGAGGGCAGAGGAGATACATGCCATGCCGGTTTCCCGGGCCTTTGGGAAGAATGTAGTCAGCCTCCTGCTGAGTGAGAAGCGTACAGCATCAACTATGCAAACAGACCTCTTCAGGGAGAGACTGGGAGATGGGCAGATTCTGTCTGACCCCTGTACACTGAACCCTGGGGGGACAGCCAGAAAGAACGTCTTCATTTGGTATGGTCCTGCAGGACTCCTGAGTGGAAGCCCCATTGGCTACCAGAGCCATGTGATCTGGAGACCCATCTGAATACAGATGAGTGTACAAGTTCCTTCCAGGGAGATACTGGTGACTTGGAGCAGTCTAGAGGGAGAGGGCAGAGAAGGTGTCCGCTGGTTTTCCAGGTCTGGGGAAGACTTAAGCAAGCCCTAGAAGTGTGCTAAGTTAGAAGCCTGGCCCTCGGGCAGCAGCTGTCAAAGTGCGCAAATAGCCTTCATTCAGGAAAAGATGGAAGTGGGTGTGTTTTGTCTGCTCTCGCACACTGATCCTGGGGTGACAGCTGCAGTGACTGTGCCCATTAACAACTGCCTCTGGGTGGTTTGCTCTAGTCTTGTAGTCTCATGGATGCAAACTCCATTGGCTTTCAGGGCTAGATGTTTTGGGGCCCATCCTTTGGGTAAAAGTTTTAAAAGTTGGGTGCTAAGTGTGGGGCTTATGGCCAGAGTGTATCTCAGTCTTTTCTACTCATTCCAATGTGGGTGTTGTCATGTTCCCCTGGCAAATGAGAGGCACTCAGCTAGTTTCTCAATGTCCTTCAGAGAAAATTGCTCCCTGTGCAGCTGTTCGTTCAGGTGTGTCTGTGGGAGGGGCAGAATTCAGGGGCCTTCTATGTCGCCATCTGTAAAGACCACCTCAGTACTTCCCAAATTCTGTTTGTTGTTTGGTCCAGGGATGAGCAGATCTGAGCTTGGCTGGGGGATAATTGCAGAAGTCCCCAATGAGGAAAAGACTGAGGACTTAGGATAGAAGAGGGGAACACTGACGGAGCCTGGTTTGGAGAGAAGCAATATGAACTCAAGGCAACAGAGAGAGGGGTTGACCCTGGATGTGGGCAGTAGTGAGAGCCTTCCTTTGAGGTGGGAGAAAGTAGTGTGAGCGACATGCGAGGAAGCTGAGGAAATGCATTACTGATGGGCTATATTTTCTCAGTAAATATAGTGGAGGAACCAATATCGACTGATTGTGAAAGAGAAGGAAGTGGCTCAGAAATAAAGAAAATGAGAAGCAATTGGAAAAGAGGCTAAAGTTTAAGGTAAAGATTAATAAGAAAATTAGAGTCCCACCAAATATTTCTATTTCTGACATGCCCTGGACCTTTCTGGTGAGCACTGATGATAAAAAATTATTGTAAGTAACATCTATTGAGTGCTTATGGTGTGTCAGGCACCCTGCTAAGAATACTGAATTTTGGTTTCTTAACAGTCTTTGAGGTGGGTGTGACTAGTATCCCCACTTGACAGATGACCAAGTATAGAGAAATGAAGCTGGCGCTGAACCTTGACTAGCCACCTGCACTAGTTGCGTGCATTGGATGATTTACTTAATCTCTTGAAGCCCCAGATTCCTCTTGGAGAATGGGGATCAGGGCCACTATTTTATAGAATTGCTAGGAACCTTAAATGAGATGTGTGTGAAAGAGCCTCATACAAGCTGGGCACTTGAATGTTTTTAAAGCAGCGTGGAATAGGGACTGATGCCAAGGCCACGGCTGGTTCAGTCATCGTGATGTGAGTGCCTGTTCTCTCTCCCCGAAGGAAGGTGGGGCCCCGCGCTGCAGGAGCCAGAATCCTGTTAACTTCTGTTTGTTTCCAGGCAGGCGCCATTGTGTGACGCAGCCTCATGCTGCACAATAAAATCAGGAGCTACAGCAATGGAGACGGTGGCCTGAACTGAAGCCACCAAAGGGGTTCACATTCACACACCAGGTGGAGGCTCAAGACACTCTTCCCCACACTAGGTGTAGCCCACATGCTACCAGCTTGTGACTCTTGAGGACTCTATTTAAAGAGTCTAGATTCTATCTGCCTCTCATTTATTATATGACTTTGGCCTCCCCGAACCACAAAGTGGACTAAACCATGGCCTGCGTCTCAAAGATAGTGCTAGGAGAGGTTGGCTGACATGTGTCAAGTTCTGGTGAGTGTTTATAGCTGGAATATTCTTGCATGAAAAAGTTCCTACTAGCCCTGGCTGGTGTAGCTGAATGGATTGAGCATGAGCCTGCGAACCAAGGGATCACGGTTCGATTCCCAGTCAGGGCACATGCCCAGGTTGCAGGCCAGTTCCCAGTGGGAGACACACAAGAGGCAACCATACACTGATGTTTCTCTTCCTCTCTCCTTCCCTTCCCCTCTAAAGATAAATGAATAAAATCTTTTTTTTAAAGTTCCTACTAGTACAATAAACAAGTGGCAAGGACTGTGGTTAAGATGGCAATGCCGCAGATAACAAGGACCCAGGGAGTTAGTTCCCTTTGGCAACCGATCTGAGGGTATGTTAATGTCATTGATTGATGAAGCTGCTGCCCCTCCTGAGGAGCAGGCCAAGGCAGCACAGCTTCTCTGCAGGTGTGTCGAGGGATGGGCATGCGGAGAAAGGCAGGGTCAGGCCGTGTCCCGAATGCCCAGGAGGTACTCACACATGCTCCCTGCAGAGCATCCAAATTGCCTTTCCAGGCCTCATCTTGAAATCTCCCTGATACAAAAGAAACATCGCTTTACTGTCGTGGCTGAAATATTGCTCATCTTTATTGAAAAGGGAGACATAGTGCAGCTGTAGAGACCCAGCTCCCACATTCTTCCAACGCTGACTGTAAATCACCCTTGGGCTTGTCCTTCCCTTCACCGCAAGCACAACCGTTCTAAGGGAGTGTCCCCAGGAAGAGTAACCTGGAAGGCACCCCTTCTGCTGTGTACCCCACTGAAGCATAAGCTACTAAAGTGCAGGCAGAATCTTGGAAACAAGGAGCCCTTGAGCCAACAGTTCCAATGCCACTCAGTCCAAGACAGAGTCTGCCCCTGAGGCAGGAGCCTGCCACCAAGACTCAAGTGACACAAGGTCCAACCCTCAGACTGGCTGCCACCAGCATGGAAATCTGACAGGACCTGCCACTTCTAATGGAGGAGACAGAACAGTCGGGCCCTGCAGTGTCCTGGGTGGTCTGTGGGTAGCAGACCCCCAATGAAGGGCCAGAAGCTTCTCTCTGGACAGGCAGGGAAGGGAAAGGTCATTATCTTCTACCCTCAGCAGAAGATCACCGACAGGACACTCAACTGACTTCCTAATAACGCAGCTGGGGCCTGATCACATGAGCCTAAGTCAAGAACCCGAGTGTCAGGTATAGTGAACACAGCTCTTTTCCTGCAGTGCTGTCTTTAAAGGTTTCTGTCCCAAGGGGATGACATGGTTTGATTGGGTACAGGTGCAACTGCGACAGGCAGACTGATGTACAAACACTACCCCAGGACGAGGTCTGTCCCTGTGGGTGGAAAAGCATCTTCATAAAGAAGCAGGAGAAGGGAGCACCTGGAACCAGGCCTGCCTGGGACCGACGCAGAGTCACCGGATCCCAATAGGTAAGAAGGTGTTTTTCTAGGAGTCCAGAGTACTGGGGCAGCTCACCTTGAATTTGGAAAAGTGGGAAGAAATTACTGAGCAAACAGTAAATTAAAATTGAAATTTAGAAGGGGCTGCAATGCTGCTCAGGATTTTCCCTTAGGAACGTGGAGTGATGAAACATGGCAGGCCCCTGGGGCCATGTCCCTCTTGATTAAAGTGACCTCTTATCTTCGGCTCTGGGCAGCTGGTATTGGAAATCGGGTATAACGTATCTTTTTAATGGCCCGCTGCCCAACTCAGTTCCCTTACCTGTGCCGAGCGCATTAAGTCTTCACTTGCCTCAGGGAGAAAAGGCTGGCTGGAGTAGGGACACCCTGCACCTGCTACTTATAGGCATCACTGGGAGCTTTGCAAGGCCATTATTGTCCTCCTTCCAAAGGCCTGGAATATGAGACATGGGGCAGTTCCATGACTGGATTCAGGTCACTCCTCAAAACTAGTTGTTCTGGAGCGCAGAGTTGAGGCTGCACGGCTGCCTCTTCTGAAACAAAGGCCAACCTCCTTGCAGTCTCATACAGCTAGAAAGTCTAAAGTGTCCTTTCCCCAATATCTGCACTTTGCAGGCCACTCCCAGAGGCTGAGGACAGGCTCCAGGCAAGCACACAGCTTGCTTGATCCTGCTGCCTCTGGACTTCCAAGCACCATGTGTGAGACCAGGTAGGAACAGCAGGACTTTCCCTTTAACCAACTAGACACTACCAAATGCAGAGTAAAAAATATCTTCTACAAGGGAGGCAAGGCGCCCCAGCAGTGCTGGCTGTGGCACCAAGGGGTCCCCTTATCCCCGCAGGTAGGTGCTGCGTGCGGGCTCCCGCCCCAGGGCGTTGATGTGCGGAATGGCTCCCGCTGTGGCTGCCAGCTTCTCACTGAGCTTCTGGTTGACCAGTTCCAGGTGGCGGCCGTTCTTCCGCGCCTGCCGCAGCGACCTCTTGACCTTCTTCACCCGGTCCCGAAGCTGCCTGTTCCGCTTCTCCAGGGTGGCCACCTTCTGCTGCAGTTTCTTGACATGGTCCTCCTCCTCAAACAGGGCCTTCTGCACCGATGAACACATGAGCTGGGGACAAAAATGCCACACAGGGAGAGGCAGGTGAGTCTCCGGAAGTCGGCCCAGGTCAGCGTCCCAAACCCTAGTGTCACCCACAGCCCGGACTCCCGCCCAGACCTCAAACCGAGCCCCTCTTTTGCTTTCTATGTTTGGGTCCTTGGATAATCTTGCTTTAAAAAGATATTCTAAATATTTGTCACTCCTATCAAAAAGCTTCAGGGAATCAAGTAAAAGACCAAAACCCAAGACAGAAAAATGCACAATGAATGTAGATAGTTTGCAGGCAAAGTAAACCTCTCAAACGTTAGGAACAGCATCGCAGCCCCTCTCATAGTAAGATAAATACCAATCGCAGCCTCAGTAAACCACTATTTCTCACAGACACTGCAGGTTTAGTATAAGCCACTGCAGAAAGCAGCCTGGCTACATCTATTGAACAAAAGCATCACATACCCTTTGACCCAGTGATTCTGGGCTTTTTTCGTAGAAACACTCCCATGTACGCCAACTGCCACACACAAAATATAGAACAGTATCGCTTGTTACAGGTACAAGATGGAGAAGTGACATTAGCATTGCAGTGGCCTCAGATCCCCTTGACTTTTTTTGTCCATCCATCCATGAGCATAAGTGCATCTGTGGGATTCAGTGACCATGCACTGAGGCGCCCACACGCATCAGCCAGACCACAGTCCCACTGTGGGGCCTGCAGTGGCCCAGGAACTGGCTCCAGCCCCTCTTAGGCAAAGGGCCTCAAAATAGATATACAGATGGCCAACAGGAATATCGCTAATCACCAAGGAAATGCAAATCAAAACCACAAGTAAGTGTCACCTTACCTGTTCAAATGGATGTCATCAAAAAAGGCAAGAGGTAGGGTTATGGTAACATAGGCAGATCCTGAACTTACCTCCTCCCATGGACACACCAAATCTGTAGCTACATACAGAACAGCGTCTGATGAAGGAAACCCAGTCCCTAGATGAATGACTCCCACACACTGGGCAAATGAGGAAAAAAAAAAAGTGTAGAAACAGGAAAGAGAAACTAAGACACGAGCTTGTCATAAAGCCCTGGTGTGACCCACAGGTGGGCAGGGACTCACAGCTCCCAACTTCTCCCCGAGGAGCTAAGAGTTTGAACCACGTGGTGGGGACTCCAGCTTTCAAGACCTGCACCTGAGAGATGGAGCCCCAGGCAAAGCCAGCGGGGCCGTGTCCACAAGGCTCCAGCAAACTGAGAAATGGTTCTCAGAGGACTCACCCATGGATTCCCCCAGCACAGAGGCAGCAGACTGAAAAGCACCCAGTCTTTCTGTGACAAGGCCTATTTGCTTTTAAAGCTTCAGCCTGAAAGACTAAGCGCACGTCTAGAAGCCGACAGCAATATTCTGCAAACCCTGCAGGCCCGGCCTCTGCCTTGCTCCAGGTACCACCCAGAAAGGAGCCCGTGCACACATCTGGTGCCCCAGTGGTGGTGGCTGTGCCCAGGGGACACCCCCTCATCACTTGGATCCGGGGCCAGCAGGGCTCACTGTTGCAGATCCCATAGCACTATAACAGTAGGGAAATAGCCTAACCAGTAACGCACTCAGGGCACAGTGGGGGCGATGCTGCAGCTACAAATTGAAATCCCTGTGACCTGGCACCGTGATAACCCCAGGGCTAGAGCATATCAAGGAGAACACACACTAAGAAGTCACAGGTGACCCAGCTTCTTTTCAAGACACCCTCCTGAATTGTTATGCCAGCAAAATGGAAAATTATGATGGGGAGAATAACGTGCCTTTCCAGATTTAAAAAAAAATTGATTTTAGAGAAGGACACACTGATTTGTTGTCCCACTTATTTACTCACTTATTGGTTGCTTCTTATATGTGCCCTGACTAGGGATCAAACCGGCAACCTTGTCATATTGGGGTGACACTCTAACAAACTGAGATACCCGGCCAGGCCCAAGATGATGGTTGTCGTTGGTAACACTTATGAACATCTTCCTTTTTCTGATCTTCATCCTGATATCAAAGTGGTGTTTCTCCCTTCACACACAGCCCCTCTGTGATCCAAACAATGCAGCAAGGAGGTAGAGCAACATTTAAACCCTACTGCTGAGGAGCACCTTTGCCCAGGCCGTTGCTGCAACGGGACGACATGGATGCCTTTCTGGAAGGCCCACAACCTCTGTAACTGATTGAAGACCCCTGCTTGGGCTTGGGTGTACAGATGGCATCTGAGTTTCGTCCATGACCCCAAAGGATTGGCTGGGGCAGAGGAGGCTGCTAAAACCAACAAGGCTACGGGTGAGGATGACACTGAGGAGCCCTAGGGCTGGTTCCTGAGGACTTCACTGAGAAACTGTTGGGACACATAACTGTTAAGAAAAGGCAAGAGGAAAGACTGCAGGAGAAAACTCACAGTGAACGGCTTAGCAGAAGCTTTTGTAGACCTCAAAGCAGCTCTTTAAAAAGTCCGAAAACACGCCCCCCACTGCCAACAACAAAGGTTTTCATGAACGAAATGCACGTGTTGCATTATGCAGAATGAAAATCTGTACTGAGAAAAAGAAACCTAGCAAACCACTGTGGGCCTAGTTCTGAAAAGAGTGACCGATCCTCCAGAAGAGCCGCAGGTGGGGCCTTCAGCAGGTGTTCCAGAAGGAGGCGACAGCTCCGGGTGAGTTACTGCACCGCGTGACCTTCCAGGGGGACGAGTCGTGAGTGTGGGGGCCACTGAAGCCCCTGACCCCATGGCTAATGTGCATTTGCGTCTTAGTTCTTGACAAAAATTTTCATAGGAAGAAGCTTATAAAGACAGCTAAGTGGTAATACATGAGTCAAGTAAAAAAAGTAAAGTTTATAAAGTAAAAAAGTTACCGCCCTGCAGGCCCCAGTTGTGGTCAGTGTGCTATACAGGCGTGCCTTTTTTTTTTATACTGTATTTTACTGTACCTCTTCTGTGTGTAGATGCTTAAACACATAAATATTTACTACTGTGCTACAGTTGTCTATGGTATTCAGTGCGTCAACATGCTGCACAGGTTTGGAGCTTTAGAAGTAGCAGAAACACAGCCTAGGTGTGTGGTGCAGGCTGTACCACCTAGGCCTGTGTAGGTGCACTCTACGATGTTTGCAAGTGACAAAACTGCCTAATGACACATCTCGCAGAATGTATGCCTGTCCTCAAGTGATGCCCGGCTGTAGTAAGGTGGTGGCTTAATCACATGTAAAGCCATTCTGAAGGTTAAAGGATAAAAGCAGTAAAAATGGCTATATCTACAATAGTGTTAATGGATACACAGATGTGAACTGTGATTTAAAAAGCACAGTACATACAACAAAAGTTACAAAACAGCCAGAAAACAATCAACAAGATGGCAACATGTACATACCTATCAGTAACTACTTGGAAAGTAAATGAACTAAATTCTCCAAAGGACACTAAATGGCTGAGTGGATTAAAAAAAAAAAAGACCCAAATATATGCTGGCTACAAGAAATGCAGATGAGCTTTAAGGACATACAGACTGAATGCAAGGGAATGGAAAAAGACATTCCATGCAAATGGAAACCAGAATTAAGCTGACGTAGCTACACTTACATCAGACAAAATAAACTTTCCAACAAAAACGAAGAAGAGCATTAAATAATGTAAAGGGATTGATCCAACAAAAGGATACAACCATTGTAAATGTGCACACAACATAGCAACACCTAGAGATACAGGAGTGGGCAACAGTAGGTTTAAAGTTGTAATACTAATAAATAATACAAGATAAACTCTGTTTCATGAGGTCATAACTGTAAACCTGCTTATGCCTGCCCCTGTATAGAGCAGGGACAGATAGAAATATAACGCCAGTAGGGGAGTTTACCTGCATTAATCAATGTATAAATCATCCAGACAAAAGATCTAGAAGTAAACATTGGTCTCAACATAAGACTAGATGGACTTAAATGGTATATCTTAAATATTCCATTCAAAAGCCAGGGCATACACATTCTTAAGTACACATGGAGCATTCTGCAGGACAGACAACATGGTGGGCCCCAAAACAAGTCTTAGTCAATTTAACAAGATTGGACCCACATCAAGCATCTTTTCCACTCACAAGGATACAGAAGTATTAGAAATTAAATAGAAGAAAACTGGAAAATTCACAAATATGAGGTGATTAAACAACATGCTAATGAATAACCAATGGGTCAAAGAATAAATTCGAAGAGAAATTAAAGTATACCTTGAGACCAAAGGACACCCAACACACCTACACTTATGGAATGCAGCAAGGAAGTTCATAGTGAAACACACCTACATCCAGAACAAGAAATACCTCATATAAATAACCTAACTTTACATGTCAAGAAACTAGAAAAGAAGAACTAAGCCCAAAGTTAGTAGAAAGAAAAATAAAGATCAGAAAAGAAATAAATGAAATAGAGACTTAAATAATACAAAAGATCAGTAAAACTAAGAGCTGCCTTTTTGAAAAGATAAACCTTTACCTAAGATTAACAAAAGTAAAAGAGGACTCAAAACATAAAATCAGAAATGAAAGAGGAGATATTATAATTGACACCACAGAAGTACAATGGACCCTAACAGACTACTATGAACAATTACATGCCAACAAATTGGACAACCTAGAAGACAAAGGCAGATTCCTAAATATACAGCCTATATCAACTCATGAAGAAATACAAATCTGAATAGCCCAATTACTAGTAAGGAGATTAAAACAAATCAAAAACCTCTCAAGCAATTAAAGTCCATTACCAGACAGCTTCACTGGTAGATTCTACCAAACATTTAAAGAAGAAGTAATACCAGTCCTCCTTAAACTCTTCCAAAAAAAAGAAGAAGAAAGAATACTTCTAGACTCATTTACAAGGGGGGACCCCAAAATCCTGGAACTTGTTTATTTTAAAATGTGTATTTATTCTCACATGTTTAAACTTCAGTCACCTTCAAAGTTCTCTCCATTTGATGCAACACACCTACTGAGACACACTT